GGGGGGGGGGGGGTGGTGGTGGTGGTGGCAGCAGCAGCAGCAGCAGCAGCAGCAGCAAAAACAACAACAGACACTTCATCAACAACGACCAGAACAAAAGCAAATAATGACAGAACGGTCGGGAAAACAAGAACAAGAGAGGCAGTAAGCGCGAAGCAGAGCAAGCAGCAGTAGAGCACGCGAAAGAACACGCCACCTACTGACGGCAGTACGACACAACACCTCGCAATGTCGGATACTGCGAAAGACGAGAGAGGAACACATAAATAATTATATTTGGTCGTTGGTACATAGCCACCTTCGAGATCGCCTTCGCCGTTCAGCGCATCCCAGAGACCACCTCCGATCAAGATAACATCTACGCCCGCCATCTCCAGCGCCTCCGTTACCTGCATTGGAGTGCAGGGCAGTCGCGTGCGAGGAATGTACAGACATAGAGGGGGCAGAGCTGGTGAGCAGGCAGCTCGGGTTAGCGCCAAGAGGATTTCCCATGTGTCTCTCTTCGCTTTTGGTTTTTATTGAGTCGGCATCGGCCGCCCTGCGCCGGAAGCAAAAAAAAATCAAGAAACGTTTTTTTTTGCTCTACCATGACATCGCCCGTCGTACGCGGGAATAAAAACAAACACAGAACACCCAAGTATCGTTTCTTTTTGCTGTACTGCTGTACCGCGGGAGATCCTCGCCAGGGGGTGCGCAGACGAGAAAATCGACACATGGTTTCCTGCACTGCACACTTTGCCGCGACCGTGTGCATGTGCACGTCTACACATGATAGCATCGACAGCGTTCTACAGATACACAGGAGGGTCCCGCCGATTCGAACGCGTGACGGTTCTCCCATGCAACCTTAAGTCGCGTGATCAAAATTTGTTGTAGTAGACTGCATAGAACTTATCGCCAAAAACAATGTGAACGAAATCACATGTTGTGCACGGACCATACGTCAATGCAAAACCCATTTCAACAACAGAACCCCCCCCCCTCCCGCCCGGACCAACTTCGCGAGGATAATGGGCGTTTGATGTCAAGTAGGGCGGGGGGGTTCGTAACACTAATCGTAAAGGAAAAAAACGTAGTACCCTCACCCAAATCCCGAGTAAAACTACAACCAAGCCAAACGTCCTCGCGAAGGCTACTGCCCGCCCCGCCCCCCTCACCCGCTCGTTGAGGTCCCCCACTTCGGGCGCCCAAAGGAATGAGATGCGCGTGCCCGAGTCATCAGAGGCTTGCCACGAGAAATCGCTGTGCTTCTCGATAGTCGTGTCATGGGCCATGGGCGTTGCCTCCCCCAGGCTCCGGACCAGAGCCCAGTAGACAAATCGGTTCACGGAGTCGCCGACGACGACAACGTTTCGTCCTGAGGCGCGCGATGTTCGCGGGGGGGGGGGTACTCATGGTATGCATGCCGTAGCTGTTGCTAGAACATTGACCACGCGTGCTCGAGAGAACGGGGCATCGTTCCCACACTAATTTACCGATCAAGGAGATGGTCACTCGTTCCTTCCTCGGGGGGGGGGGGCGGAAGGGAAA